TTAAGTGACTTACCGCCGACCCCTTTGCACCTGCCGATCCTCGTTTTCCTGGTCGTCCTGGAGCTCCCTGTAGACATAAAAAAAACAGAAACGTGGCGCGCATGCCTAAACTTGAGGCTTTCGTTTGGTGGTGTTCGCATTCCCGTTGCCGTCGTGGTTTCCCTATTAGAGAGTTTAAGAAAATCTCAACGGCAACGAGAACGCCACCAAACAAAAGGCTTAGTGGGTGGAATAATGGCTGTGCACGTGCGTTTTAAATCTTTGTCCATTTCTTTGCCGTCCTCTGCAAAACAACAACTTGAAATTTTGGAGAACGCGAACGACGGAGGCTAATATATCGCATTGATATTTGGAATTAAATGCTGGCGCTACATACTTAGCTTGAGCAAGTTCTGAAACCAATAGGCGCACTGAACAGATCTAGACAATTGCGAAATTCGGAGGTGAAAAAAATATAAATTCATTTTTTACTAGGCGTTGTTCTTGGGGTCACCGCCGTCATTGCTTAAGCTCGCTATCGAAGCTTTTTGGCCAACTAGGGCACCTCATGAAGACAGTATTCTAGCTAAGACTCTTGACTTCTGATTCCAAAGTAGAATGCACAAATGCACTTAATTCCCGTTAATTTCTCCGATTTCCAAGGATATGCTCAGAGGTGTCCGAGATTCCATCTGACGTAACTTAATTGTTGCTTAGTTTTGAGTTTTTGCATGCAAATGCATGTACACAACACGGATCAGTGGCACCATCACGGGTTTTTGGTCAAATCTGCAATGTGCTTCTCACATAGGAAGAATTAGACACGTGCACTCTAAAAGGCGTCTATTTCTCAGACTAAGACAAAACACACGTTAACATGGATCTAAATAGTACATATTAAAAACAATACTAATTACCGCTTCTCCCTGCCTCCCATCTTGTCCAGGTAAGCCAGGATTTCCCTACAAAGATATCAAGCGAGAGAGTATAGGGTTTGCCTTTATAATGTTGCATTTAAAGTAAATCCAATCTAATGTTACACTGAAATGGTAAATCTATAATAATTATTTTAAGACTGTTAAGGTCTTCTTATAAATTATGTTTTTCAAGTGACACCTTTGAAAGCTGGTCTGGGCTGCATCGAAGTTTGGATATAATAAAGAAGATGACTGTCGTGACGTACATAAACCATTAGCTCTTACCAGTCTCCTATAACCCAGTGCCGGGTTGTTCAAAGCACGATTCAGCTAATCCAGGATTAGCGTAAATTTTTACTTCAATTTTGTATTTTTTCAGTGAAGGTTTCTGTTTAAATTTTTTTTGTCCTTCAATTTTGGCTTTGACCAATGTCAAACTCCAGGAAACATGAACAGTGAAAACACTTTTATTCAAGAGAAATAAGAACTTTGATTAACTTTTAATCCTGGATTAGCGTAAATCGGCTTTCAAACAACCGGGCCCAGTTGCTTGCATCCCTGACTTCATCAATGATTCAATGATAAAACAAAGCTGATAATCCGGTAGTAAAAAGGTTTGTGCAGACAAACATATTTAGCATATGCATGTACACATACTGCTGCCGCTTGACATTAATGTTCTCTGAAAATTTTAGACATTTGTTTCCGCATTTCTGCGTGTCACAAGGTTTCATTTGATTTGAGCCATTGAACTGAACAAGGACTAGAAATTGAATTTGAAGTACATACGGGTGTTCCCTCTTTTCCAGGGTCACCTGGAGGTCCCATAGGTCCTGGAATGCCCTGCAAAAAAGTTTCCATTAATTACATGTCCATGTACTTTTTTAATCTAAGTATTTGTCTTTTGCATATCTGTCTGCTCCTGGCATTGCGCGCGCTGGTATTACGATTTGACTGCTGTTTTAGCTTTCATTTTTGTACCCAGTCCTCTCCAGCTAATTACAGGTAATGAACAATGAAGAAATAGTGTTTTACTATCATCTCTGTTAAAATTTTGGCTTTTAGTCTTGAATCATAGATGTCCAAACAAATGGGATATTTTTACCGTTTACATGGCTGTATTTGTGATTTCTTGAATTTCCCGTTTCGTGAAATCTTCTACAATTTTCACAGTACATCACATCCAGCGTGATACGAGTTTTAAACACGAAAACAGTAGAGTTTGTGCAGGCAGTTTATTCGATTTTTGCAAATTTATGTCTTTTACCGCTGCGGAAAAACTGGTCAAATCGATTTCCCTGAAAAACGAGCTCCAACTAAAGCAAAACATTTATTACCCGTCTGCCAAATTTTAAGGAATTTCACAGAAGGAAACCTGGGAAAATTCATTGTCAGTTTTGCTTTTTGTGCCCATGTTGACATCATAAAATATCGAAAACCACTCACGTTTTCCTTCGAGAGCGCAGAGATGACTTATTTATAAGCTTTTGTTCTCAGCGCGCGTGCTATCGTAAAGCTATAGGGAGCCACTTTAAGCCT